AACAAAGTCGATATCCAGTGCTGTTTCTAACGCAAGGGCTGACGAAGAAGTGGCAACAGTTCAAAGACAAACGCAACGCTTCCATAGAGATGGCCGTATACTTCGCGCAAAGCGTTGGTCTGGAAGGGGTTAACGTTCACGCGGAGGACATTATCAACGATCGGTCGCTCATTGGGTTCGTTAAGTCGAAAAACATGATACTTTTCTGTTGGGGCGATGACCTCAACCGCACAGAACTGATCGCCGAACTCAAAGAACAGGGCGTCGATGGAGTTGTTTACGACCGGCGAGTCTTTTCTAATGAATATTTTGAGTTTCTAATGATTATTATTACTAATGATATTCTCATTTCATTATAGAATCGATATTCTGTGCGCAAAGACACGATCGTTGGTCACATCTCCTAAGCAATTGTTTTAAGTATAGTCTCGGTTTTAAATAATTTCTCAACTATTGGCTTATGTTTAGGGTTTTTTACAAATATCTAAATAATTAAATCATGGTTTAATGGCAATCAACTATAATATATTTACTTATAAATACTAATTCCTGTATAAAATTTTATTTTTACAATTTTAAACAAATATTAATAAAGATTTTAGACGTATATAAAAATGGTATTAAAATATTTATTAAGATATCTTTTATAGGATTTACAGATTATATACCGGTATTTAAAACAACAAAATAAATACATAGAATAAGGAAATATAAAAGCATTAGTAATACTCCATTAATTAGAGGTAAAAAGAAAGTAAAAATGGATTAAATATTTTAACGACGAGATCGTCTGTAAAAAAAATAGAAAAACATAAATAAACGTTTAAATACATAAATAGCTAAACAATGACTTACTTGGAAAAGACCGGATGGTTGTGGAGCTCAGCCGATGTGATCACTTGATTGGGAGGCATAGCGGGCGAGAGGAGTCGAGTGTCGCTTTGGGTTCGTTTCCTATAATAAGTCACCAGAATTTGAGATTTATTGCAATAAAGAAGTGACAAAACAAACAATTGGTGCCATACCTGAGGGGAGGGGAGCCCTGCTTTAGGGTCTCGACATCGTTGAAGATAACTTGGGCGCCGCCGGTGGCCGACGGAATCACTTCTCCCTTAAACACCTGAGTCTCCACCTGTCCGTTGCCGTCCGCCTCGTGGTGTGTGAGCGCATACATCGACGCCTCCTTAATGTCGGATGACTTCAAATTGGAGACCGATTTCTTGTTCTTGATCTTTGGCCGCAAAACAGTGCCCAACTCTATAGTGCCGGGCGGTCTGTGATCGATCCACTTCTCGTTGCCCGTCGATAGCGAGCGGCGGTGCCGAGGGTTCGACACCGGCGGCGGATTGTGTACG